TCCATCCCTCCATCCATCCATCCATCCCTCCATCCATCCATCCATCCCTCCATCCATCCCTCCCTCCCTCCATCCCTCCATCCACCCCTCCCTCCATCCATCCATCCATCCATCCCTCCATCCATCCATCCCACAGCTGGCTCAGAGCCCCCAGCCTGGGGGGCAAACAGGGGCTCAATTCCCAGAGGGTCCTTTTCAGCTCCCGGATGAGATGCTTTGTGTCCTGGCTCCGTCCTGGGAATGGGTGGGACGGGACATCCCCCCTCCCACTGGTCTGTGGCTGTGTCAGGGCTCCCTGGGGACGTGGCTGCAGGAACAGGGACACGGCAGGGGCTGGAGGTTTTCCCCAGGGTTGTTTGAGCCCTGCTGCTCCCGGGGGATTTCTCCTCCTCTCTCTCCACCTCCCCCGTGCCTGGCAGGTCTCTGACCCACCTCTGCATCCCTCCATCCCACAGCCGGCTCAGAGACCCCGAGGGGGCTCCCAGAGGGACGAGCCCCATCCCGGTGCCCTTGGGAGCCTCTCCCCCGCACCCCGGTGCCAGGGGGAGCTCCCCTGCCCGGGCCGGGGCCGAGCCGCGCTCCCGGGGCAGCAGCGATTGGGCGCTATTTTGCTCCTTGGGCAGCTGTCGCTGTTCATTAGCGGAGCGGGGCCAGCCCGGGGCTGCCGGCGAGGAGGAGGCAGCGCTGGGCACCCCAGGTACGGCTCTGGGGGCTTTGACCCTCCCGGTGCTCGAGGGGCACCCGCGGGCATCACCCACCCCGGGCCGGGGGATTTGGGACCCCCGGGGCCCGTCCCGGCCCCGCCGGGTGAGTGTGAGCGGGGACAGAGGGGCGGGCGGGGCGGCTATTTTGGGAAGTTTCTTTGATGTGAGTCAGCGGTAAAAGGCACCCCCGGGAGCTCGGGGGGGAGAAGTCCCGGCGGCAGCGGAGCAGAGCTGATTGTTTGCTGAGCGGCTGCGATTTGGGGCATTGAAGAGAGGGACTGGTGTGAGCAGTGACCGGGATGGATGGTCGGGCAGGTGTGGGGGAGGTTCCCTGTGCGGGGTCAGGGGAGCCAAGGGCTGGAGCTGGACCTGGGGGCTGTGAGTGACCAGCCTTGCCATGGGCAAAATGTCCCTGGCATTGGTGTCCATCCAGGCACTGATGTCCATCCCTGGCACTGGTGCCCATCCCTGGTATTTTGGTGTCCATCCCTGGCATTGGTGTCCATCCCTGGCATTTTGGTGCCCATCCCTGGCACTGGTGCCCATCCCTGGCATTGGTGCCCATCCCTGCCCTGCCTGGCCCAGGCACTGACTGTTGTTGGATCCCCAGCTCTGAGCTGGTCCCGTGGGATCCAGCCCCGGGAATGCTGTTCCTGCAGGTGCCACGGCCCATCCTGGCTGGTGATGGGTCCCTGCACGGGCTGTAGAGCCCTCAACTGCCTCCAGCTCCTTCCAGCAGCCGGAGCTCCCTGTCCTGTCTGGAGGGGACAGCCCCGGGCACAGATCTGGGCAGCTCTGGGAAGAGTGGACACCTCTGGGGATGAACGACCGCTGCCCTCCAGATCTGGAGGGTGTTTGGGCTCCTCCACCCGGGGAAGGCCCAAGGGGTGGAGGTGTGGGAAGAACCTGGCACCCTGTGACAGGGCCTGGGCTCAGCTGAGGGCCGGGCAGACCTGCAGGGGTGTGGGGGGGGATGGCACTGGGCAGCCCCACAGGGATGAGGTGGGATGGCACCGGTGCTGCCCCACTCGGGTTTAGTGGGAGTCCCCAATCATGATGTGGCAGCAGGTCCCTGTGTGGGGCTGGAGGAAGATTTGGGATGCCCTGAGGCCACCAATGAGCTGTTGGGTGGGCAGAGAAGGCTCAGAGATGGCCAAGGAGGGGCGAGAGAAGAGGCACCTTGTCCTTACCAGGAGCTGCCAACCACGGCTGTGGCCGTGCCAGCACCACTGCCAGGGCATAGGAGGCTCTGCAGGAGAGGGCTCAGCCTGGCACAGGAGGCTCCTTGAGATGGTGTGAAATCACAGGGTGACCCCGGGCATTGAGGGGCATCCCTGTGGCACCAACTCCAGGGGAACACCAGCCGTGCCCAAGGAGCAGAGGGGCAGAGGTTGTGCCCTCCTCAGTCTCTCTCACACTCATCTGGGCTCCAAACCTGTTCTAAACCTGTGTGAATGGATGTGAAGCTTAAAAACATGGGAGAAAAACTCTTTGAGGAAAAATTCTGCATCTTTGTGCTTTCCCTGGGTCTGGGAAGCCCCTGTAGCCACCACAAGAGTCCTGGGGAAGCTGCAGCCCTTCCCAGCACAGAAAGGACCTGACTCACCATCACTCAAACAAAACCAAAGACTGACTTATTTATCTATTTATTTTATTTTATTTATTTTACTTTATTTTATTTTATTTATTTATTTCTCTTTATTTCCTCTTGAAAGCAAACATCTTTCAGACCCTTGGGTCCTTGGCCAAAAGGTTTCCTCTTATCTGTTTTGCTCCCAGTATCGAGTCTTAGATGTCATCCTGGGAACTGGTATTTCTTCTCAGTGTTCCACGAGGGGAAAATAAACTAGGAGCAGATCAAAGGGGGCAAAAAAAAAATCTGCTTCTGGTGAGGGCTTGGCAGGAAGTGGCACCCAGATGCCAGCAGAGTGAGGGCTGGACTTGGAGCTGCCAGGAGGGCTGAGGGGTGATGGGGTTTGTTGGTGCCTCCTCAGCCCCGTAGCCCACGCAGGGCAGAGAACCCTGAGGAGCCCAACACACCCCCCAGCCCTGCTTTGTTTCAGAGCTCTGGGGACATTCCAGTTTCCTCTCCCACCCCACAGCTGGGGAAACCCCAAGAGTCATCCCAGAGCTTTGTGATCCTCTGGGGTGTCTTGAGCTCTTCTCTGAGCTCTGGTTGCTCCTCGGTACCTGGAACTTCTCCTTCTGTGAAGCCTCCAGACACGATTTCAGGGTGCCCAAGCACCCCCTGGGTTGTTCATCCCCCTGTGTGCCTTGGCAGGGGGTCACTGTCCCCTCAGTTGCAGCTCCACAGGGATATCCAGGATTTTGGGGCTCAGAGTGCCCAAACTGCCCAGTGCTCCCGTTACACCCTGACCTCCCCAGCTCTGCCTCGATGGCCGAGGGTTTTCTGCAGCACTAACAGGGGAAACGTGGCCCTGATGTCCCCTCTCTGCAGGCCAGGGAGTGGCATCGAGGTGCCCACACCCTCCCACCCCTGGCAGTTCCCACCTCCCCGAATTTGTCACCCAATGCCCCCCTTTGTGCTTGTCTTTGCCAGATGCCAACACTGGGGTGAGCAGCGACAGCGACAGGAGAGCAGGAGCCCATGTAAGTGCCCAAAATGCGGGGTGAGGGTGCCAGGGGGGACCCCCGTGCCAGGGCAGGGCAGGGGGATGAGCAGGAGCTGTCCCACGGCATTCCAGCCGGGAAGGCTCTGCGGGGTGTGCGGCACGTCCGTGCCGGGGCAGCCCGAGGTCCCTCAGCTGTCGCTGTCACTGATCCGTGCCCATGGGCAGCTCCGGGTGCCGCTGGCACCAACCGGGACCCAACCCCGGCCCCCAAACCCCACCCAGCGCCGAGCACAAACCCCAGCGCGGCTCCCTCCCCTCCCGGCACGGCGACCCTGCCGGGATCCACCCGGATCCCGGATCCCGGATCCCACACGCTGCCCTCGGCGGATGCTGCAACCCCGCAGCCCAAACCCGGCCCCCAGCGCTGCTCCCGGGGGGAAATCCCCAAGCACAGCCCAGGGGGCCACGGGCACCGGCCCAACCCGCGTGTGCCAGGGCCGTTCGGGGCTCAGTCCAGCTCAGCAGATAAAAAATAAACGCCGGTTTGGTTTTAAGGCTGCTGAGGGAACACGGCAGCGACGAGCCGGGTCGGTGCCACTCGGGGCTGGTGGCAGGAGCAGCTGAGCCCCGGGGACAAGGAGAGTGTGGGCACCCCAAGTGTAAGCAGGCAAAGGGACTGGGGGGGATGGCAACAGGACCGGGAGGGGTGGAAAAGGGACCGGGAGGGGTGGAAAAGGGACTGGGAGGAGCAAAGGAGTTGCAGGGGGTGGCGAAGGGGCTGGAAAGGGACACAGGGTCGGGGTCTCTCTCCCGTGTGGTGTGGGGGCCCCAGACCCGCCCCGTGACTCCCCAGCCCACCCGGCCACCTCCCCCCCTCCCCGCAGGGACTAGAGGAGGGGAGTCCCCGGTTGGTGCGTGAGCAGGACCCGGAGCAGCCTGAGCTGAGCTGAGCCGAGCTGAACTGAGCTGAGCCGAGCCGAGCTGAGCTGAACTGAGCTGAGCCGAACTGAGCTGAGCTGAGCTGAGCTGAACTGAGCCGAGCCGAGCCGAGCTGAGCATGCCAGAGCCGGCGCCGGTCGGAGGGGACAGGAAAGCAGCGGAGAGGAAGCGGGTGGAGAAGGTGGGAGCCAAGGCAGCACCTGCAGGTAGGTGCGCGGGGAAGATTCCCTGGAAATTCCCTGCACCGGGATGGCCACCCTGGCCTCAGGTGGAGCAATCCCGTGTTCCCAGCCGGTCTGGCCACGAGAGGAGCTCTGCCCTCCACGGTCCCCTCGCAGCTCAGGGACATGGGGCTTCTTAGCCACCTGGCAAATCCCCCTCCTCCTCCTCCTTCTCCTCCTCCTCCTCCTCCTCCTCTCCATCCTGCCCAGATTTTCTGCTGGAGGGGGAACACGAGGAGAGGTTTTCCCAGGGTGATCCCCAGGATACTCTGGTGCCACTGTAGCCCAAACCACTCGGGCTCAGCCCCCTGGGACACTCTTCTCCCCAGTCCTGCAGTGCAAACACCTGGCAGGAGCAGGGCAGGGAGCTCCCTAATCCTGACTCTGACCCTGACCCTGACCCTAACCCCAACCCCAACCCTAACCCCAACCCTAACCCTAACCCCAACCCCAACCCTAACCCTAACCCTAACTCTAACCCTAACCCTAAACCTAACCCCGACCCTGACCCTGCCTCTGTCCCTGTCCCTGCCCCTGACCCCGCTCCTGCCCCTTCCTGTGCCCTCATCCCTGTCCATGTCCCTGCCCCTTCCCTTGCCCCTGCTCCTGTCCCTGTCCCTGCCCAGGGTGGGCTGTGCAGGAGGATGTCAAGACCCCTTCCCACCCTCATCCCAGATCCCTTCGCCCCTTTCCAGCTCTCCCATTAACTCTGTTTTCCTTGGGGGGTCCCCAGTGCCCAGGAGCCTCCCGGTGCAGAGCAAGGCAGAGCCCCCCAGCCTGGAGCCCTCGGAGGAGCCGCTGCTCTGGGAAGGGCTCACCCTCAACAAGTGCATCCTGGTGGCCTCTGTGGTGGCCCTGCTCAGCGTCACCTTCCAGGTGCTCCAAGGTGAGCTGGGGCTGCAGGGAGGGGGACAGGGAGGCCAGACCCTGCTGCCACCCCCTGCCTCTCTCCCCTCCCCTCTTCCAGCACCATGTTCCAAGGAAGGGATCACCCGAGGCCGGCAGGAGCCTCCACCACCACCTCCTCCCCTTCCTGGTGGGTTCCGAGCTTCGTGTTGTCCCAGTCCCACAGATCCAGCCTGAGGTGGGGCCACATCCCAGGGAGGGGTGGCCCGTGCCTGGGACATCCCACCCAAACATCCATGGCCTGTCCCTCTCCCCTCCCAGAGGTGCTGAGCCCCAAGGAGGAGGTCCCAGAGGGGACAGCCCAGCCCGTCCCACCGGAGAGCAGCGCGTTGAAGGGTGGAGACGAGGAGGAGGAGGAGGAGGAGGATGATGACAGCGAAGCCGACAGCAACCTGGTACAGGGCTGGGGGCACCTCCTGCAGGGGGAGCATCTTATCCCTGGGGGAGGGAGGGAGGAGGGTCCCGGGCCCTGGGGCTGCATCACCACGTCCTGGTCCCCTCTGTCCCCACGCAGGCAGAACCCTGGATCTTCAAGAAGTGGTTTGGCCGCGCGACTCCAGAGGATGAGGACAAGGATGAGGACAAGGATGAAGTCGAGGATAAGGGTGAGGATGAAGACAAGGATGAGGAACCCACAGATGTCCCTGAGGTGCCACCGGCTGCAACAGAGGTGAAGAAGAGCCAGGAGAAGCAGGAGAAGAAGGTGGAGAAGAAGGTGGAGAAGGAGGTGGAGAAGGAGGAAGAGGAGGAGGAAAAGCAGGAGGAGGATGAGGAAGAAAAGGAGGAGAAAGAGGAGAAGGAGGAGGAAGAGGAGGAGGAGGAGGAAGAAAAGGAGGAGGAGGAAGAAAAGGAGGAAGAGGAGGAGGAGCAGGAGGAAGAGGAGGAGAAGGAGAAGAAGAAAAAGGAGAAGAAGGAGGAGAAGAAGGCCCGGGAAGGCCGTGCCGTCCATGCGGAGCGCAGCAGCCGGAGAGAGGCACGAGCCAAGGACAGGACACCAGGGGACAAACCTGGCAGAGCCCCCAGGACCCCCAGGGACCCTGAGCAGCAGCCCCAGAAGAAACGAGACCGGGAGAGGAAGGAGAAGAAGGAGAGGAAGGAGAGGAAGGAGAGCGGGCGGGAGCGGGAGGAGCCCAGGAGGGAGGGGGGGAAGGGCCGTCCCGGCAGAGCCAACGACGGCCGGGAGAGCCCCAAGAGGGACTGGAAGCAGCAGAAGGGCAGGAAACCCTGGGAATCAGCTCCGGGCAAGGACGGCAGGGCCAGGGAGGGCAAGAGGCGCGACTGAGGCCGGGGCGGCCGAGGGGCTCCGTGACACCGGATCCGGGGACACGCAGGGGGATCCAACCCACCACTGCCCCCGGCTCCTGCCTGTTCTCCAGAGACATCCCTGGGCCATGGGCAGCACCCCAGGATCCCTGAGCAGCAGCAGAGCATCCCAGGAGCCTGGCACGAGCCTCCCCGGGGACTTTGGGCCCCCCTGGATCAAATGGCCAAAGGTGACCTGAAAGGACCCGGGGAAGGAGCTTCTCTTCGGGCTTTGTGTCACTGCCCCGTCCCCACCCAAACCCCCCTGCGGGTCCTTCCCACCCGCGGGGTCATTTCCACCCAGGGCAGCACAGTGGGGTCCCCCTGACCCCAGGGAACAGAGTTGGTCTCCAGACTGTGCAGCTCTTCAGTTACTGGTTTTATTTAAAGCAAATCAAGAGAGAAGAATATCCTGGGTTACAGAACCAGAGGGACATCGGGGACAGACCCCCCCGACCTCACTCGGTGCCATCGCTGGGGGTGGCACAGAACTTGCAGGAAACAGAACCAGGTTGGAGCCCCTCACTGGGGATCCCTTCAGGCTTTGCCTTTGCCTTTCAGGAAGGAAACACAAGTGCAACCTCACACAGCACTGGAGCCACTGCAGGAGACGTTCACAGCCCCAACCCATGGCAGGTTTCGGTATTTGCTGAGTCAATAGAGGTTAAAATAAACTATTTTCATTTTTAATAAGGTATTCGACTGGATGTTTAAAAAGAAAGGGGGAAAAAAAAGGAAAAAAAACACAAGAAAAGCCCTTGTCCCTGGCTGTGTGTGTGTTTTCTGTGCCCCACAGAGCTGAGGGGCTCAGGGGTAACCCGGGTCCTTGTGGGGCTGCAAGACAGGGCCAGTGGGTGCCAACTCAGCCCCGTGGGGACACTGCAAAGCCCAAGAGCTGCTCCCAGCACTGAGAGGTGCAGCCAGGACAAGCTCAGGAGCTGCTTCCCAAGGGTTTAGCTCCCTGTCTGACGGTTGGGCTCAGCTGGAAAGATGATCCGGGTGCCGATGCCGGCAGGGACACGGAGCAGGTGCTCTGGCAGCCGTTTGCTCCCGCTCCCATTAATAGTGTGAGAGCCCAGGAGGTGTAACGGGATCACTCCCTCCCTCCCTCCCTCTGGGAGCGGGGTCGGGGCAGGGTGACGTGGATGTGACCTGGCCAGGAGCCCCAGGTCACGGCCAGTGGGTCCCCATGGCCCCAGTCACAGAGGGACAGACCCTGCAAGGGGGTTTGGCCTCTTGCTCTGCTGTCACAGGTGGAGTCCTGTGGCCGGGGGGGGCTAACGATGGGCTGGGAAATGGCCAGAGGATGCTGCGAGGCTTGGAGGAAGCAACATCTGCCCTTCCCAGCCACTACAGGAGCAGAAAGGCAGCGATAAATAAGTGCAGTCTTGGCTGGATCTGCCAAGCTTCGCCCTCCCCCCACGGCCCCACAGCCCAAAGGCCCCCACGGG